GAGATTAATCTATTATAGCATATTTTAGCTTTCACCAATTTCTTTTAATTGGTGAATTAATTTTAATAGAGACTATAAAACCCAGCTCCCGGAAGCGACATCTTATTATCTCATTCCTACTTTGGACAAACTGGCAGGCTACCGAATGTAACCTGCCCACACGGCAGAGTCTGGCAAACTCCCCGTGGCGTACCCAATATGCCAAATACCAGTAACAATGAAGGGTCTCATTCTCCTAAGTCTGAAAGAGCCTTGAATATGGCACTTTTTAAAAAAATCTCAGGGCTAGGACGAAGGAGACATTACTGGGGCCTGCTCGAGGCAATCGACGAATAACAGGATGGTTGTGATTGTGATTGTTGTGGTAAATTAAAATAATTCTGGGTAGTCTTTTAAATAATTTTTAAATAAATGACAGAGCTTATAGTACCTCTATGTATATTTCGAAAAATATTAGAAGGTAACCCAACCAACAATATCTATACTTCAGGTTAGTTGTTAGTATCATTTTTAATTTCTCTGACTTTTTTTTTCTTCTTATATTTATTTATTGAATCACTGTGGAAAAAGTCACAAAGCTTTCAGGTTTAACTTCGGTCACACAATGATCAAACACCTTTCCCTTCACCAGTACTCATTTTTCACCATCAAGAATCTCAATATAACCCCCACCCATCCCTCCCAATGCCTGCGAGGCAGATGATTTCTACTTAACTCTTCTTTACATTGATTACATTCATTATTTCGACAAAAGATGCACCATTATTTTTTAGAATTTCCCCCCCAACAATCAGAATTGCTGAAAAGTCATTGTGAAATACTTTGTTTTTTATAACTGGTTATGAGAATCATATAAATAGCTGCCACGCAATTTTGGATTTCTGCAGAGCCAGATAATTACGAAATTGGTTTCTGTGTGTCTGGTGTCATGGCCAAGCAGGAGAGCCGATCGTGGGGTCAACTCGTGACCTCAGTAGAGTGTGAAGGATGAGCTGGTATCGCCTCCCCCTTCCCATGAGACTGAAGTAGTCCCGTCACCGCCGGCTCATACCTGGCTTTCCTATAAGGTCTGAGGCAGCGGCCACCTTGCTGCCGGGGGGCGGGGGGGTGAGGGGGGATGCGGAAGGGAGCAACAACCTTTCCCTCCTGGGCAGGTATTGCACCGTAGTTTAATGCAGAGTCCATTCACTTTTCTGCCACAAGCAGCCAGGCTCAGGATTAAGTTCCTTTTGCCTCTGGAGCCATGGCCATGCCAGAGAGCTGCTCATGGGGGGCAACTCGTGATCTCGGTAGGGCGTGAAGGATGAGCCGGTACTGCCCCCCTTCCCATGAGACTGTAGTTGCCCTATCACCACCGGCTCATACCTGGCTTTCCTATAAGCTCTGAGGCGGTGGCCATCTTGCTGCGGGGGGGGGAAAGGTGGAAGGGAGCAACACCCTTTCCCTCTCGGGGAAGAATGGCGCTGTAGTTTAATGCATGCTCCAGTCACTTTTCTGCCGCAAGCTGCCAGGCTCTGGATTAAGTCCTTTTGCCTCTGGAGCCATGGCCATGCCAGAGAGTCGCTCATGGGGGGCAACTTGTTACCTCAGTAGGGTGTGAAGGATGAGCTGGTACTGTAACCCTTCCCATGAGACTGCAGTTACCCTGTCACCGCTGTCTCATACCTGGCTTTCCAATAAGCTCTAAGGCAGCGGCCACCTTGTATGCGGTCCAGATGCATTTCTGCCAAAAAGCCGCTGGGTTTTGAGATTTGTTTCTGGGTCTCTGGGATCATGGCCATTAATCAGCTTGATCAGGAGCTAGAGAGGCTGTTTGTGGGCAGCGACTCGGGGTCTCTTTGGGATGGGGAAGAAAGGGCTGGTTCCACCCTAATCTGGTGAGGCCCCGTGTGTCTCATCACTGCAGGCCTAAACCTGACTTTCCAGTGGCCTCTGGAGGATGGTGGTCACCGGGCCGCCAGGGGGAACAGGCCAAGGCACAAAACCTATTCCCACCTGGAGTGGCCCAGCGCCAGTAACCTACTGCAGGAACAGGACGCATTACTGCCAAAAGCCTTTGGGTTTTGAGATCCATTTCTGAGTCTCTGGGATCATGGCCATTAAGCAGTTCTATCAGGAAGCAGAGAGGCCATGCCTCCAATTATAGAGCTGAGCCAGACGTGGTTTGTGGGTGTTTCTCCCACATACCTAACTTCTGGCCATTTACTTTCTTGTTAAACTTTGCCCTAAGTTTTTGGGGTCTGGCCAAAGGCAAAGCAGCAATTTTCAGGTATCAGAAAGTCTGAAGGCACCATCAGGCTGCTGATGCACTCACCTCACAGGTACAGATTGACCTGCTGGCAGCACCATGCCCCCAAATTTCTCTGACTTTTTAAGCTTTAATCATGATGCTTGTTCTAATACCATTGTAAACTAAAACTTTTGTATATAAGTTGTCAGAACTGAGCACAGTGGTATGGCACAGATTTATTCTATGCCAGATATATTATAAATTTCTGAGATTATTCACAACAAAATCAGTTGATTCTGATCAATGGGGCATAGGAAAAAAATAAGCATCATTTAGTAAGGCTGCAGTTATGAGAAAGGTACTGGAGAAAAGTTAAAGAAGACAAAACTTGTTCTTCTTCCTCAATGTTTTGCATTGTCCTCTTTCTACTTAAGTAGAGAAATGAGGGCAAAATGACAGGCCACTTGATTATTAAATGAAATAATTATGTTTACTTTATCGGTTTCCATTTCAGTCTATTAATCTTTTCTTGTGTTTGTTTTTAATTACCATGGAAAGCCTATAAGCTAATTAATGAAATACTTAAGATACGGGAATGTACTGATTCTGTGATTATGATTATAGTATACAAAGACTAGTAACAATTGTAATGAATGTGAACCCTGGAGACATTTGCTTGGAAGTTTAGGAGAAATCACTGCTGCCTTTTCTTCTTCTATTTGGAGAAACCATGGAAATGTCAAAGCATTGTTTTCCTGAGAAAACATCTCACATCATTTGATAAAAATATTTTTGTGTTCTCCTTTGTTAGAGAAACATGATTTTTTTGGCACATAGATAATTGTATATTTATGTGAACTTAGTCAAAATGTAGTACTGTAAAGAGTCTTTATTCCCTTGGTTTCCCATGTATTTATTCCTAAATTCAGAAGTTGAAAAATTGTCTAATTGGAAAAAATCTCTCCCTGTGAATTTTAAAACCAAAGACTTTTACCAGAGGCTGAAAGCAGAAATTGTAAAACTAAACAAATAATACCACAAAGTTATCATTTCTCCCCTCTTCACTGAAGGGCCCATTTATCTTTCCTAAAAGTTCCAAAACTTTGCCTAAAACTTCCCATGTGTGTCTTTTTCTCAGTTTACTTCCAAGATGGTATGTGAGTCTATTCTAACTACCTCTTCAAGTTATATTTTTTCTGTACTGCTGCTTCTATAAAGGAATCAAATTTGTTTGTTGTCAGTATAATCTGTAGACCTCTGGCTACTGAACCTAAGAGGAGAAGAGAAACTTCCCACTCAGGGGTTCAGTGTTACAAGTTTGGATATAGACATCATTTTTTCATTCACCCAACATTTGTTAGAGTCAACATAAAAGAAATATTACCAAAAAATCACATTCCAAGTGCCTACAGAAGACATGCAAAAATGCATAATATATTACAAAAGTGATAAAAAGAACACAAGGTAACAAAAGAAAGTGATTAAAAAGGAAATGTATTGTAGCTTCACTGGGAAAACTTCTCTGAGAAGGTAACAGTAAGCTAAAACAAAAATGACACTAGGGCAGTAATTCAATGAATGCAGAAAAGGGTATTGTAATCAAGAAAACATCAAAAACACAAAGAGGGACCCAGGAGTGCATGCCTTGCATATGAAACCCCAAGTTCAATCCGTGCAGTATGCAGTCATCCTCATGACTCCCATAAGTGGTACCTCAACTAAAAATGATAACAAATCCACAAATAATTTCAGGATAGTTGAAATTATTGAAAGAGTCAGAGAGGAAAATTAATTGAAGAGAAATTGGGGGGCATTCATGGACTTTTAATAGCCTCGTGATTTATATATATAAACACACCTAATCCTAAACTGTTTCACTGGTGAATCTAAGATATCTATATTTTATTTACATATCCTCAGAAAAGTACTGTACTGAAATGTACAATGCATCAGGCACAGTTATATCAGGATGTAGAGACAATACATCTTAACATTTTGGATAAATGCTGAATTAAATCATTACTTTAGGTATTAATACATAACAGTTATGGAAATCAACAATCTTTTACTGCTCAGTAAAGTTTAAATCCTGAGTAAAGACCAAAATATGATTACTATTTTGTGATAGTATTCCTTTGTGGCATAACTGGGTCAGAAATAGGTCTTACAGCATTACTCTGTAATAACAGTATTTCCAGCTGATGGTTTTGATAGAACTAACAAAAAAATTCCAGCCAGATATTAATTGGGATATGAAATATCCACACACACATATAAACACACATAACCTTAAAGCAATTTGAGATAGTGATGACACAGAAATTACCTACAGATTTATATTTTTTTAATAATTTCCTCAAGAAAACACCCAAGCTTATTGCATCTGATTCATTTAAATTATGTTTCATCTTTTTATCATGATCTTCCAGGAATATCTGAGGGTATACAAATAGAAGTAAACTTATCAGCCAGGCTTCTTTTCAAGTAGGGAATATAAGTCTATGATTACAATTTTGCTTTTATAAATAAACTTTGCCACCAGGTAGCCTAACAAATGTTAACATTATCATCAGCAGGACAATGTTTTTTCAGTATTCAGAACTAAAAAAACAATCAAGGCTTGCAAATAAACCCCCATAGAAATATGCCACAATAGTTGTTATACTGAAATGAAAAGTACTTTGTTTTATACTACACAACTCCTGAGACATCATTTATAAAACTGCTTCAAGGTTTCCTTATGATCATAAGCAAATACCAATAGCATTACCTATCTGCATCCACTGTCACGTCGTGCACCCCCCGCTGGATGACTTCCCTGGAGGTCGCTGTGTCTGGTAGTCGGTTCAGACTTCTAGTGTACAGGTTAAGCCCTCCATCTGTCATGTACCTGCAAATATGTTTAATTAGTCACATGAAAATAAAATAAACTTATCACCATAAATATATTTACAAACTTCATATTTTTAATAACTATGTATTATCTATTATTGTTTCTGCTTTATAAACATTTTCTCATCAAGAAGAATATCTTTTCTTGGGAAATCATCTGTCAAATAATAGTAACCAGCCTATTATAACACTTTTTATTCAAGATCTATCTTTTAGTTTGGAGGGCATAGCCAGCAATGTTCATAAGCCACTTCCATATGTGTGCTCAGGGTACCACATGGTGCTGGAGACTGAATCCAAGCCTTATCATGCAGTACAGGTGCTAAACAATTTGAACTATCTATACAGCTCATTATGAGAATTTGAAAAAGGTTAATATAACTCCTAATAAAAGAGAAAGATAATTTCATTTTATAAGTACAACTTTGATGCACTGAAGGTCACAGAAGTAATGGAAAAATCCCCGAATTTAAGATGAATTCATTTAATAAGTAAAACCTACAAAATTTTTTAGTATTATAAAATAGCAAAATGTATGAAGGGTTTAATATGATACCAAAACCTGTTGCAACATTATAATCCCTGTTTTAAAGATGAATAATATTAACAAATCATGTACATGTATCGTCTATTTGCTCGAGCGGGCCCAGTAACGTCTCCACTGGAGACTTTGTTGTTACTGTGGCTGGCATATCGAATACTCTCGGTAGCTTGCCAGGCTCTCCGAGAGGGGCGGAGGAATCGAACTCGGGTCGACCATGTTGGCCGCTTGTAAGGCGAACGCCCTACCCGCTGTGATATCACTGCATGTACAAAAAGGTTATGGACCTATACAAGGTGACTCAGCAAGTCATGACAGAAATGAAAAACCTATTTGAAAAATTGGTTGCAGAAACTCTGTCACTTCCCTTTCATTTCTAAAGAGCTGAAGGACTACACAGTTTATTTCCTACCTGTCCTCAAGAAATACTTCCTAGCTATCAGAGAACCACCAACATAACACAGGGATGATGGACCATCAAATTGAAAGTCAAGGAGAAAAAAGGTGGATTAACCCATCCCCTCAATCTTCCTGTGAGCATGGAGTGATGCTAATGGAAACTCAGGAGTTGTTGGTATCTATCTCTACTTGTTGAAAAGACAACAGAGAAAGTTAGCCCAAAATAAACCCAAACATGAGAGACAAGTGCAGAGAGAAGTAGGTTACTTGGTCCTGTGATCTCAGCTTTACAGTTTGTCTCTTGGTTCTAGGAGATTAACCTATTTCTTTACAGTAAAGTACCCAATTAACTATCACTTATAATCACTTAACTTCCCTTTAGTCGTCGATTTGCTCGAGCGGGCGCCAGTAACATCTCCATTCATCCCTGTCGTGTGCCAGTGTAGCCCAATGGCATCTGTTCGCTCTGGGAACATGAAGATCCTCAAACCGATCATTCATGATCTCGATGAAGAAGTCTGACCATCTGGTAGGTGGGCAGCCACACGGTCTTTTGACATCCCGTGGGATCTAGTTGGTAACAGCTCTAGTCCAGTGGTCGTCTTTAAATCTCATTACGTGACCAGCCCATCTGATTTTTGACACCTTGGCAAACGAGACAGCGTCCCTGATTCTTGATCGTCAACGGATGTCTGAACTCCGGATTCTTTCTCTCATTTGAGTGAAACGTGATATTCCAAGCATAGCTCTTTCAATTCCTCTTTGGGAGACCAGAATAGCATTCTTATCCTGTTTACGTAGGGCCCAGGTCTCTGAGGCATATGTTAATGCAGGAAGAACAGTGGAATCAAAGAGATGTGCCCGGAGCTGGAGGTTCTTCATTCTCTTAGCTATTTCTTCGACGTTCTTGAAGGCGTTCCAAGCCGCTCTCTTCCTCCTGCGCAGCTCGGGTGCCAGGTCATTTGTCATGTTGACTTCTCGACCTAGGTACACATAACTGTTGCATTCGGAGATGGTCATTCCATTGAGAGCGAATGCGGCATCAGGAACGAGGCTGTTTCTCATAAACATTGTCTTCGTAAGATTCAGCTGTAGTACTAGCTTTCCACACTCATGGTCAAAGTTGGCCAGCATTTGTGCCGCTTGCCTGATGTTTGGTGTTATTAAAACAATGTCATCAGCAAAGCGGAAGTGGTGTAGTTGCCGACCATCTCTCTTCACTCCCATTCCTTCCCATTCCAGTCGTCGCATGATGTTGTCAAGGGTGGCGCTGAAGAGTTTCGGTGAAATGGTATCACCCTGCCGAACCCTTCTCTTGACATCAATGATTACTTCTTTGTAGAATGGTGAGATCCTGGTAGTGAATCCGCAATACAGCTCATGGAGGATCTTGATGTATTGGGCTTGAATGCCCTGATTGGCTAGGGCTTCAATGACAGCTTCCATCTCAACAGAATCAAAGGCCTTCTTTAAATCAATGAACGTTAAACAGAGCGGCATCTTGAACTCCCGAGAAACCTCAATGAGCTTGGTTATCGTGTGGATATGGTCGATGGTGCTGAATCCTTTGCAGAACCTGGCTTGCTCGCATGGTTGTCCTTCATCTAGTGTTCTGCCAATCCTATTTAGGATGACTTGAGTGAACAACTTGTAGATGACAGAAAATAGGCAGATCGGCCGATAGTTGCCAATGTCATGGATGTCTCCCTTCTTAAACAGTAGTACAGTCCTGCTGGTTTTCCATTGGGATGGAACCCTGCATTCAGACAGGTAGCATGTGAAGAGCTGAGCCAGTGTATTAATGAGTACTGACGGTAGGTTCTTCAAGTGTTCAGGTCTGACCTTGTCTGGGCCTGGTGCTGTTCCTTTCTTTACTGACGAAATGGCGTGTCAGATTTCGGAAGGGAGACTGTTGGGAACGACATATCCATCCTGTGGAATTTGGTATGTCGGCAAGTGGACATGGCTATCGAAGAGATTTGAGTAGAAGTCATGGATAATCTTCTCCATTGCCGTTCTAGAGGATGTGATGGATCCATCAGGACGTCGGAGGGCAGTCATCTAGGTCTCGTAGTTGGCGAAGGACAGGCGAATACTTTTCCCGGCTTCTGCTGCATCTACCAGCACTTCTGCTCTTCTCTCTTTGAGGTCTTCCTTGATCGCATCTCTGCACTGCTTTGCAAGCTCGGACATTAGCTTGCGGTTGCCTGAGGCATGCGCCAAACCATGTTGGTGAATAAGCTCAAGAGTTTTCGAAGACAGGCGTTTTTTTGTAGCTATCTCTCTCTTGGTGTTCCTCGCACATTCATATAGGTGCTGAACCAGTCGATCGTATTCCTCGTCAATGTTGTCAACAATGGCATCTTCCCATGTTGCCGCAATAGTGCCAAAGAGCTCCAAGTTGGTGGTCGTTCTGGGAGTTCTCTTTTTAAACTTTGCAGTCCTTTCTCCCCACTCTGTGAAGTAGAATTTTGCACGAAGGAGATGGTGGTCCGATCCTGTTCAGAATTTTGGGACAACAGCGACATCAGTCAGGCAAAACCATCGATTGAATATGATGTGGTCTATTTCATTGTGGAATCGTCCACCGGGAGACTCCCATGTCCATCGTTTAGATTCTGCCTTCTGGATCTATGAGTTACCATGAATGGTCTTGGTCGATATAATGAACTCAGTCTCTCACCCTGTTTGTTCCATTCTAGGCCATGGGTCCCGATGTGAAGTTCTTCAGTGGATCTTCTTGGTCCTATTTTGGCATTAAAATCACCCACAATGATCTTGTAGAAGGTGTGGTCTTCTTTATAGAACTTCTCCAGCTCCTTGTAGAACTTCTCGATTTCTCTTTCATCATAATGAGATGTTGGTGCATAGACAACGAAGATAGAAACTGCCGGCAGTGAGCCACATCTATTCAAATATAAACGTCCAATTCGGGTTGTTAGGCATTCGAATGAATCAATGCTCATGGCCAAGTTTGTGTTCACAAGGACACCGACGCCTCCGACACCTCCTTTATGGCATGTTCCGAAGAACAATTCTTCTCCAGTGTCGAAAACGGCATGGTGAGATTCATGCCTTCTTGTCTCGGTCAGACCAATGATGTCGTACTTGATCATTCGTGCTTGTACCATCAGGTCCTTGATGGATGCATCTGATGCTAGCCTATGTGCATTGAAAGTACAGACGATCATTTTTGTCTTCCTTCGTTGTGGCAGCCTAGTTCGGCCTTGAGATTTTATCAGCCTCTCCTTTCTCATCCTTCTCAGTGCTCCCATGTTGGTGAACCCTTCAGGGTCAGGTGAATGAGACCAGTTGTAATTACTGGTTTGGGCATATCGAATACACAACGGATAGCTTGCCAGGCTCTTCCATGCAGGCGGAATACTCTCGGCAGCTTGCGAGTCTTTCCGGGAAGGATAGAGGCTTTTGGGGTGACCTCTAATTGCCCTCGTAGGTGTTACCATATTTGAACCCTATCAAATATGGTATGGCAATTCCAGAAGATGGGTATTTACTGTCTTATGATGAGTCGCATGGCCGTGCGGGTCCGGAAAGCATCCTGGAGTGTGGTGGCGGCTGGGTAGTGGAGGTAGTGTCAGTAGTGGAGTTCTGCCAGTTGGGTATTTATCTGGTCCTGGTAGGGGTAGGGTGGGTCTTCTGTGTGCAATCCGATCCCTGGGTGTCTAGTGGTTGGTAGGAGCAGACAGGGCAGGGTAGGGCGGGGCTCCTGATTAGAATCCCTTTGTCACCTGTGGTTGGTGGGAGCAAGCAGAGTATCTTTCTCCCTGACACTACCTCCACTACCCAGCCGCCGCCACACTCCAGGATGCTTTCCGGACCCACGTAGCAGTTCCAGCCGAGACTCTCACACGACTGGAGACCCACAGAACAAGAATTAACTATATGGTTTTATTTTTATTTTGGGATCCAAAATTTTATCATGGCCATATTTTTATGGTAATTAACCAAATAGTTATAGCTGGAGTAATGGAGTTGTCTAATAAACCTGGCTGCAGATACATTTTATGCTGTATAAAGGAAAAATACATAAAGCTTTT